GAATTGAGGTGATTACGCCGACAATTGAAAGATAGGCGTTTGAAACAACGAATTCACCTCTAGGGACTTTAATACACTCGATTCTCCAAAAGTCACACGTCAACACTTTTGCCTTTGAGGCAATGACTCGAGTTTTCAACACAAATCAACAACTAGTCCTTATTTCTCCCTTCTAATCTATTCTTCCTTTTTTTTTTTTCTTTTTTTTTTTTTTAATCGAATCAAAGAACCTAGTATATATATATGAAGATGCACATATATATCTATTATTATTATTATTATTATTATTATTATTATTATTATTATTATTATTATTATTATTATTATTATTATTATTATTATTATTATTATTATTATTATTATTATTATTATTATTATTATTATTATTTATTTATTTATTTATTTTTTTCGAAGAAGAAGAAAGATCTTATAAGAATTTTTCGACCGACCTCCAATGGATGATTATTCAGAAATCTCCACTTTTCTACCTTCTACATATTGGCTAAAAGAAAGAACACCTTTTCTCCGAGGCTCAAATCAAGGTTCTAAGGATAATTTGACAAAAATGGTAGGCTTGAAAGGCTCAAACGGTTCAAAGGAGGCCCAAATCATATCCCAAATCACTTACTATCAACACTTCGTATCATAAATGTCCTAAGGTGAGATTTAAAACCGAACAAAGCATGATTGAGCACAAATAAATTCCAAATTTAAAATGCAAAACATTCAACCAAAGCAAAGCACAAGGTGTGATTCCTAGCAATAATTCACTTCTACGTTCCGTTGAATCGAAAGCTAAACGAATACATACTCCTTATCAACATAAAACAAGTAATCTCATCATCAAACATTGACCATCTCCCATCATCATAGTTCATCGATGCCTCAAATTTTTTTTTATTTTTTATTTTTTATATAATAAAAACAATAAAAACGGAAATAATAAAACGGCAACTAAAACAAAAACTAAAGCATGCAAAATAAAATAAAAAATAAAACACAAATAAAGCGCACATAAATGAAAACAAGTAGTTAACCACCCCCAAACTTAAAATTTACATTGCCCTCAATGTGATTCGCCCGGAGTTTAAGGATAGAAAACATTTGTTTTTAAGAGTCGGGACCATCGTCGGGTTGCTCACCAAGTGCACCTTGCGCATGAGCATCACCATCTTCTTCATCATCCGAAAGCTCGGGTACCGGCTCAAGAATCGGTGCGGGCAACGGAGCCGGTTCGGCGCACTCGGGATTGCCACATGCCAAATGGCGCACAATGGCTTGGAGCATCTTTCCCGACCACCGTTGGAGGGATTCGATCGTGCTCACCTTGTGCTCCACCGTGGCAAGCCGATTTCTCGTGATCACCAACTCTCGCTCCATTCTTCTTTGAAATCGCCGGTCAGAACTTGTGCTTGGACCCTCGGGTGGAGCTATTGGTTGGTTCTCGACGGGTTGCTCGCCATCTTGGATGGGTGCCTTGTATTGTCGGGCCGCAAGGTTACTCATCGGCTTCCGAATTGATGTGAAAATGTCCGTCGTTTTGGTTGGGACCTTCGCCTTCTTGCATAGCCCGGTAACGAGGCAAGGGAAATAAAACCCCTTGGAGTTGTTGACCATGGAGGTCCAAAATCGATCGGATATGATTACGCCAATGTTGATCGGTGTGCCCTTGAGGATGTAGTATGCAAGAGCGCACCGTTCGGGGTCCACGCGAGTCCACGAGCGGGTGGCAATGAGGTTGGCACATATGAACGTAAGGCACGCCTTGCCTACTTGGTTGATGCATTTCCACTCTAACTCGTACGACTCCTCGGTTGATAGTTCGGACCAAATGGGGGGTCCATCGCACAACACCTCGGCGATTTGATCTCGTGTGACCGCAAGTTGCAATTGCCCCCAATTGAATGGCGTCGTGTGTCGGAGGTGATAAAAAGAGTTGATTGCGTAGGCACACCAATTGACCTTCTTTCCTCGAACCGTACTCGAGTTCCGATCCGTTGTGAGGAGGATACGGTTGTGGC